AAAATATACTTTCCAAAATCTTGGATATGGTTGATCATGCGAAAACTAATGATATTTCATGTACCTGTCAGACAATATTGCTTACTGTGAGTTGAGTGGAGAAGCAGAATTTTACAAGGCTATAACCTGACATTGTGAGTTTGGTACTGATATTATACTAGTTTTCTAACTAATTAATACAATAACTACTCATATTTGTTTCGAGGAAGAGCTGTAGTTGGAAGAATGCTGAAACAATAGTACCAATTCTATGCCAAGATTGAAGGTTATTAAAGTTAACATTTTAGACAAATTATTTTTTTTTCTGCCTGCACAGAGCCCACTAAATGCTAAGAAAGCCTCTTGCTGTCTTAGGTAAACTTGATCTGCAGCTTTACAGTATCTGGAGGGCTGTGTTAGATAGTTTGTGTACAGTGATTTTTCAGGAATTTTTGACTAGAAGAGAACTTTTTTCTTTTTTTTTTTTAATGCCCCATGAATAAATAGTATAGAAATTGCAATTTGGGGAAAAAATAGATAATAAAATATTATATGTTTCAAATACATACAGTGTATATTGTGTCTGTCTCCAGGCGTGTGGGAGGGGGAAGGGGTTTGCGAAGGGTGCAAATACACCCTCCCCACATACACACAGTCCTTCATGGTCCTCCATAGGGCCAATTCCGGCTGATCTGGGAAAGGCAGAGGTGGCACGCTACCAGTCTCTCTCCCCCGGGCTCTGGCCGGCCAGGGGGAGCCTGTGGCTGATTTCCCCCCCTTCCACCTCCAGGAGAGAGGCTGGGGGCAGGAATGGGCTGTGGGGGCAGGTCAGCCACCAGCTGCTTTCACAGCTCACCCCTCTCTACAGAAATTCCTTCATACGGGCCTGGTTTCCCTTTCTCTGAGAGGGTTTAGATCCATGACTTTAGCAAAGTACTCCATGCAACTTGGGTATATAAGAAACACTTGGCTTCCTCAAACCAGAGCCAGTGGTTGTAGTTCCTATCAGTCCTAGGTTATGTCTAGACTGTGGAGTTTTTCCGAGATACCAGAGGTATCCCGGAAAAACTCCACCGCGTCCAGGGAACGCATCTGCTCTTCCAACATTTTTTGTGGAAGAGCAGATGCACTCTTTCAGAAGCCCTATATTCCTCATTTTATGAGGAAGAAGGGCTCTTCTGAAAGAGGAGGTTTTTCCCACATTTGGCCCCGTGTAGATGGGCCAAATTTCAGAAAACCCTATTCTGAAAAAACAATCAGAAAAAGGTACGTAAATTGTGGAGTGCAATTTGCATACCTTTTTCTGAAAAAAAGTGGCAGTCTAGACATAGCCCCAAAGAGTTAATGCATCTGCCAATCTGGTCACAGACACACCCATGGTCACATCCTTTACATTCTTCTGTACGAGCTTCCCTCCTGTTATAATGTAAATTAATGGAGATTGCCTATCTTAGAGCTGGAAGGGACCTTGAAAGGTCAAGTCCAGTCCCCTGCCTTCACAGCAGCACCAAGTACCATACCTGACAAATTTTTGCCCCAAATCTGTAAATGGCCTCTGCAAGGATTGAACTCACAATCCTGGGTTTAGTAGGCCAATGCTCAAACCACTGAGCTATCCCTGTTAATATACTTATGTGCTTTTCAAAATTGGGACTGCTTCCTGTCAATATATTAACCAAAAGGGAAGGAAAATAGTCTTTGGGAAATTAGGAACACATAAAGAAAATATTCTTCCCTGGTTGTTATCTGTTACTTTTAGATCCATTCAGAAACAGTGAGCAAAATGGGCTTTTGCTGCAAGTCATCTGAATGTACTTTGTCAAATTACCCAATGGGGTATGTCTATACTGTACTAGAAATGTAAATCAACCTAGATTACAGCCACCAGATTATTTACTGTAGTGGTACATAGCCACACTACCCTCCTTGCATCGGGAGTGCACACTCTCACCAGGAGCACTTCCACCAGTCCAAGAGGGGCAGTGTAAGAAGCTGAGAAGCTGCTTTCTCACTTCCTCATACTGCCCTTCTTAGATTGGTAACTGCGGGAGCCTGGATGCCCTACCAGCTCCCAGACCCCCAGTGGGCTGCAGTGCCCTCTGTTCTCCACACCCAGGACGTCTCACCCCATCTCCTAGTCAAGAGCAGGATCCAGCTACTCGGGCTTCTAGGCCCAGCTCTCAGTGAGAACTGTAGGTGTGAGTATTGTGTATATTAACCTGAAAACATGTAAATTAACGTTCCACCTTTCTTTGAGTGTATTATTGTGCCCAGAGCAATAGTTAATGAATAAGAAATTGACAAACACAATATAGGCAACAACAAGTTTGCCTACTGCCACCTAAAATGTTTGTTTTGTAAACAAGCTTTAAAGCTTCAGACAGTAGCTTGGTGTGATATTATTCAAGGCAAGCAACACACATTAAGTGTTTATCCATATTAAAGGCCCTTTTCCTGTTTACATAATGATACCCCATGTTTATCATGCAAACACTGAGAAAAATATTAGTTAGTGGTCATAAATATAGCCTGATGAAATGAGACTACTATTCAGAACTGCTAATCTATGTTAATGCCATTTTGGTAAGGGTCCTGTAACAGCTGTTAGAATTTTGTCCCCTGTAGGTCAGAAAGAGAAGATGGGAAAATCCTTAATAAAATGTTGTTAGATGCTACAGGTGGGAAATAAAGAAGCTATTGTGACCTGTAATCTTATTCTCTCATAAAGTCACAGAGTGCACAGCAGCTTCTGTGGTTGAAATTAGACAACACACTAGTGGCTTTTCAATCTCAACTTTTGCAGTTTGGTTATATCATTTTCGGTGAAGAACAAATGAAGGATACAGCAAGCACTGCCCGTGACCTTCCTCGCTGTTTTTAATAAGCACATTCAACAGCATGAGCTACTCTGTCTTAAATGAATTATTACATATCCATGTATTGGAAAGAAAATACAGTAATGTTTATCTTCTGTATACATTGTACTGTCAGATTTTAATTAACTCTCAGCTCCAGGTAAAGAAAATATGCTAATTCTAATAGTCTTATAATTACTGTGGTCCAGATCCTTCTCCTACTGATTAGTACCTTTCTCTGTGAGTAGTCCCACTGCTTTCAGTGGGACTAGTCATGGAGTAAGTTACTACTCAGCATGAATAAGGATGGTAGAACTTGGCCCTGTGTATGTTCAATGTATTATTGAACTTGTATGTTATATTTAACTTTTATTCTATGAGGCTAAACAATAGAAAATGAAGGGTTGGTAGTGTTAGAATAGCTAGAAATAAAGAAAAAGACATATTAGTAAATTAAAACATTGGCTATCTGTTAGCAAAAATAGATATGCTATTTCCAAAAATATCATCTGACTATATGTTTCATTTGCCTGTTGTGGCTGAATAACGTCTCTCTCTCTCTCTCTCTCTCTCTCTCTCTCTCTCTTTTTTTTTATTTGTGCTGGCTACATTCCATACATTTTTCTTCATAAAAACAGTATATATTCTCTGGACATTGAGACTCTTCCAAGGATCAGCCCTGTGTCCTCTTTCCTTTTTTTTTTTTTGCTTCTCATTTACCTTTCTTGGTAATATAGCAGCATGGAGTATGAACATTAATAATATTGTTTCCATTATATTTGTTAACCCGGAAATAACAATTCATAATAATATATAGCTCAACACAGCTCCCATTCCTGTAGTAATTTTTTAATAATTCAGCTGAACTAAACATTCCCTTTGATTTAAACATGTGTGCATAATGTTATATGTATCTATATGAAAATGAGCCTATTACTGTCTTTTATTTTGTTTTCCCTTTATTGTATAAAACAACTTACTTAAAAATATTCAGCAGAGTAAATTATTTTATATGATCAAATATTTGCAGCTTTAAATCACAGAACTCTGATTAATTATAATTATACTTAATATAATTGATTTATTTCTCATTAGTACAATAGCTGAGGATTGCTGAAATATGATACAGGATGGCATCATTAATTGGCTCTAAATTCAATGAGTTGTCATTTCTGAAATTTAATGTCATCAAAGCTTTTTTTCCAATAGTGCAAGGAGCACTATTGCTAATAGACTTCAGAGCTTGAAATAAATAAATCTTTGGAATCCTGTTGCATCTCTGGGGGTGTGACATTTGACAGTCTTTTATAGTGCAGAACGAAACAAGTTTGTGAGCTGGAATTCAATTGTGGCATATTGATTCCTTGCATCAGTCATTATTCCCTCCTGATTGACAGCTGAAAATTGGTTACGTTAAGTATTTCATATGTTATATTGGCTGACATTTGCTTGCCTGCTCCTGTGTCAATATTGTTGTAAAGATCTCCAGCTCTATGAGATAGCAATATACACTGACTGTGGCTTTTGTGTGATGTTCCAGTGTTTTTCCTGACATAATTTAAGACATATTAAAAACCAGCAGCATCTTCCCTCTTGAGAAGCTTAATGCCAATATTATTGTCTTCCCAGGGAAGATCATGTATGCTCATAATCGGGTGCTAATTTCCACCCATACGCTCATGTTTAGGCATTAGGCACTATAACTGTAAAATTGAGCCTGCTTGATTGATTCATGTCAAGCCTCATCTCGCTCCTGCAGTGGAAGTCATCCAGCTGACCCTTTTTACACTAAAAGAAGAGATTTGTGTTCCTTTCTTTCACCTGGAACCATCAAATTGACTGAATAATCTGTAATACATTAGTGCTGACATTTGTTAGGTGAGAATTAAACAAGACACAGTAATCATTTCCTTGAATAAAAATTGTGTTTGATTTCCTGCAGAGTTCTATTAAAGGAACAGTGTAGTCCATCTCCTTAAAGTGGAGAAGGGTGAATATTTTCCATGTTAATGACTTGAATTAACACTTTAATGACAGATAATCATTGATTTCCCCAAAATTCGTTACAGAAGATCAGAACTAATGCTAAAAATTGTAAACTGGGATGAAGTTTCAAAATCCACCAATATTGAAACGAATGTTAAAATCTTTGTCTTACAGAATCCATCATATCAAAGGTTCAAAGTTGCATGTATTAAAGCTTGACCTTATATAAATAAAGTGGAAAAGCGATGTGTCCCAGAGCAACTGCCTGCTACTCACATCAACATTGATACCCAAAACAATGCAGTGCATGTATCCTCAGGTACAGTATTTAATTCTTTATAAATGTTGCAGTTTGAAATGTTTGAAAGCAGTGGGCCTGATTTTCACTGACTTCTCACGCTTTAAAATGGGGGTAATTCCTTAGAGCTCAATGAAGTTACACCAGTATAAAACCACTGTGAATAAGATGGTGTTTGATATCTTTTTATGTTGTAGAAGTACTGATCATTACATGTAGAAATCTGAAGCAACCCAACTATAATGCATGATACCTGTTTGCTTCTCTCCCACATTTCTTATACAGTACTGGCTGGCTGTTTGTCAGAACTTTTAGTTCAGATGCAATTATGTTCCACATTTTCTATATGTCTTTACTTTCAATAATAATGTTTTAAGTAGACACAATGCTTTGATATATGTGATTTTGTTATATAACATGTTTGCTGTGTACATAGGTGATCAGTCAGCATGGCATAGACATGCAACCTAGAAATACTACTTAGACGCAGAACATTTTTCTCCATATGATACTTTAGGCAACAACTATCAAGTCTGATAACTGGGTTCACGTGGTAGGTAGACAGTGCTATAATCTAATCACATGTAGCATCTGAAGCATCCTTTGAATGTGAATTGAAATACTTATTAAAGGCATTGTCCTGAACTAGCTTGCATGCCTGTGCAGGAGTTCCAGGGGACATTACACTCCACCTGACTCCCATTTGGTGGGCTTTCCACATCAGATGCTTCAACACGGGGTGTACGCAGAATGTGGGCAGCCATTGGCAAGGCAGTGGTAGGAAGTGAATGAAGCTTTGTCTGGTCAGTACAAAAAGCTTGCATGAAGATGGGAGTGAGCTGTGCCAGGAAAATAGCTAGAGCATTTTACTGGTCCTTTTTGAAGCAAGGGGGATGTAAGACTAAATGGTGACTCTCTGAGTTATGATTTCATCCTTCTCCTGGTCCTGAGATAGCACAGCTAAGCATTCCTCCTTACTCAGATTAGATTGCAAAGTGCCAGTTTGAGCCATAAATAATTATAGCTGCTTCAGGTTCCAGATCATTGGTGGGGTGAAACTCTCTTATTAACACCTAAAGCCAAGCACAGAAGGCCTCCTCTAGAAGACCTCATCTAGCACTTAAGCTCTGCATTCTACCAGCTGTCTTCTGTTGGAAAAAGTGTAAGAGAAGGCACCTTCTGACTCCAGTTCGAGCATCTATCCCTGAATCATCTGGCAGGGATGAAAAGTGTGGGACTTCCTTTTTTTCCAGACTAGTCCCCTGTTTTTTGCAAGAATGTATCCCATACAACAGAGGATCATTCCAGAATATCTGTCTGGGCAGTGCCACTTCCTTACAATATTCATTTCCTCGTATGTTAAACCCAAATCTACTACGATTCATTTGTTTGTGCATTTAGTTTGAAAGGGAAATGGTGCTGGGAGGTGTAATTTCCTTCTCAGGTAAATGTACACATGTAGGTTTTAATTGAGCTAGAATGCTACAAATAGAAGTGTAGCTACAGTGGCATGGATAGTGGAAGGAGTTTGCCATTGGAGTAAGGAACTACAGTTCTGGGCAGAGTTGTACTTGGGTTAGCTAGGGGCCGTCATGTCACTTGCATCACCGTGACTACACTTCCACTTTTAGAGAGTTAACTTGATGAAAGCTAGTACGTTAGTCTACCTAAACTGTAAATTACACTTCCAGCTTGAGTGCCGGTATCCCTAAATATTTCTCAGTATGGTTTGTTTCTTTTTTCTGTTTGTTCAGTGCCCAGCACAGACTGGAGACTCACCATGAGCGTCACCATCATATACCTATTAGCTACTAATATTGTACTACAGCCCATTGCGTGGTCCCCACAATGTCTTTAGGCAAGCCCACTACATCTGTTGATCATTTATTTTTGCTCAGAACAGCTGGTGCTGGTACGGGAGTGACACTATACGTGAAAAATTAATGTAGAATAAAACTAAATCAAAATGTTCCATACGATCTCTATGGATAGTAATTCCATGCTCTAATAAGAAGAATAGAGCAGTAGGGATATGTTATTAACCACCTGATCAGGACAGTGGTAGTGACGATGAAATGCTAAGGGAGATTAGAGAGTCTACCAAACTAAAAAAACTCAATAATAATAGGGGATTTCAGCTATCCTCATATTGAAGGGGTACATGTCACCTCAGGACGGGATGCAGAAATAAAATTTCTTGATACCTTAAATGACTGCTTCTTGGAACAGCTGGTTCTGGAACATACAAGAGGAAAGGCAATTCTTGACTTAGTCCTAAGTGGAATGCAGGATCTGGTCCAAGAGGTAAATATAATGGGACTGCTTGGAAATAGTGACATCCCTATGGTGGGAAAAACACCTCAGCAGCCCAACATTGTGGCATTTAATTTCAGAAAGGGAAACTATATGAAAATGAGGAGGTTAGTTAAATTAAAAGGTACAGTGACAAAAGTAAAATTCCTGCAAGCTGCATGGAAACTTTTTAAGAACACCATAATAGAGGCCTGACTTTAAATGTATACCCGCAAATTAAAAAAACACAGTATGAAAACCAAAAAAAGTGCCATCATGGCTTAATAACCTAGAAAAGAAACAGAGCCTTAAAAAAATAAATCTTTTAAAAAGTGGAAGCCAAATCCTAGTGAGGAAAATAAGACAATAAACTCTCTCAAATTAAGTGTAAAAATATAATAAAAAAGCCAAAAAGGACTTTGAAGAACAGCTAGCCAAAAACTCAGAAAGTAAAAGTAATTTTTTTTTAGTATATCAGAAGCAGGAAACCTTTTAAATAACCAGTGGGGCTCTTGGACGATCGATATGCTAAAGAAGCACCCAAAGATGATAAAGTCATAGTGGAGGAGCTAAATGAATTCTTTGCTTCAGTCTTCGTGGCTGAGGATATTGGGGAGATTCTCAAACCTGAGCCATTCTTTTTAGGTGACAAATCTGAGGAATTGTCCCAAATTCAGGTGTCATTAAGAGGAGGTTTTGGAACAAACTGATAAGCTTAAGAGTAATAAGTCACCGGGACCAGATGGCATTCACCCAAGAGTTCTGAAAGAACTCAAATCTGAAATTTCAGTACTATTAACTATGGTTTGTAACCTATCCTTTAAATCAGCTGCTGTACCTAATGACTGGAAGATAGCTAACATAAGGCCAATATTTAAAAGGGCTCTAGAGGTGATCCTGGCAATTACAGACCAGTAAGTCAAACATCAGTGAAACTATAGTAAAGAATAAAATTGTCAGACACATAGATGAATTTAATTTGTTGGGGAAAAGTCAACATGGTTTCTTGAAAGGGAAATCATGCCTTACTAATCTACTAGAATTCTTTGAGGGGATCAACACACAGGTGGACAAGGAGGATCCAGTGGATATGGTGTACTTAAATGTACTAGAATTCTTTGAGGGGATCAACACACAGGTGGACAAGGAGGATCCAGTGGATATGGTGTACTTAAATGTCCAGGAAGCCTTTGACAAGGTCCCTCATGAAAGGCTTTTAAGTAAATTAAGTTGTCATGGGATAAGAGGGAAGGTCCCCTCATGGATTGATAACTGGTTAAAAGACAGGAAACAAAGGGCAGGAATAAATGGTAAGTTTTCAGGATGGAGAGAAATAATTAGTGGTGTCCCCCAAGGGTCTGTTCTGGGACCAATCCTGTTCAATTTACTTATCAATGCTCTAGAGAAAGGAGTAAACAGTGAGGTGTAAAAAATTGCAGATACTAAGCTGCTCAAGATAGTTAAGATCAAAGCAGACTGTGAAGAGCTTCAAAAGGATCTCACTAAACTAAGTGATTGGGCAACTAAATGACAAATAGAATTTAATGTTGATAAATGTAAAGTAATGCACACTGGAAAAAAATAATTCCAACTATACATACAAAATGATGGGGACTAATTTAGCTATAACTACTCAAGAGAGACATCTTGGAGTCTTTGTGGATAGTTCTCTGAAAATATCCACTCAGTGTGCAATGGCAGTCAAAAAAGCAAAAAGAATGTTAGGAATCATTTAAAAAGGGATAGAGAATAAGTCAAAGACTATCTTATTTCCTCTATTTAAAACCATGGTACACCCACATCTTGAATATTATGTACAGATATGGTCGACTCATCTCAAAAAAAGATATATTGGCATTGGACAAGGTTCAGAAGAGGACAATAAAAATGATTAGGGGTTTGGAATGGGTCCTGTATGAAGAAAGATTAAAAAGACTCAGACTTTTCATTTTAGAAAAGAGGAGATTACGAGGGTATATGAAAGAGGTCTATCATGACTTGTGTGGAAAAAATGAGTAAGGAAAAGTTATTTACTTGTTCTCATAATATAAGAACTAAGGGGTCACCAAACAAAATTAATAGGTAGCAAGTTTGAAACAAACAAAAGGAAGTTTTTCTTCATGCATCATACAGTCAACCTGTGGGATCCTGTGGGATCCTTGCCAGGAGATGTTGTGAAGACTAGTACTTTAATAGGGTTAAAAAAAGAGTTACATAAATTTATGGAGGTTAGGTCCATCAATAGCTATTAGCCAGGATGGGTACAAATGGTGTCCATAGCCTCTGTTTGTCTAGAAATGGATGACAGGAGAGGGATCATGTGATGATTGTCTGTTTCTGTTCACTGCCTCTGGGGCATCTGGCATTGACCACTGTCAGCAGACAGGATACTGGTCTAGATGGACCTTTGGTCTGACACAGTATGGCCGTTCTTATGTTCTCAACATGTATAATCAATAGAGTAAATCCTGTAGCACAAATACAGGAAAGGTATTATATGTACTTCCTGCTCTTCATGAAGACTTCTAGGATAAGGCCTTTAAATTAAGCACATTTCAGTCTAAAAAAATCACTGCTAAATGTTGCTGATAATTTATTTTGGGTACAACTGTTTGAATTAGGGATTTCACATGATTAAAAAATGAATAGTGATTTGTGTGAATAAAAAATGCATCAAAATCACACAATTAATCAAGTAAGTAAAACAGTAAGTGATCAAGTCAGTAATA